CTTGTTATGGTACAAATGGGAAAATAAATAATTACACCTTTATGTACAAATGACCATTACAAGGGCATTAACTCTTCATGTTCTTGGGTGCCTGAGCAAACTTAAAGATGATGGCTTAGAAGATCTCCAAGGAAAGGGGGGAAGGGAAGTGCAACTATTGAGCAAGAGAATTTGAATGATTCAACATTTGTCTCCCCTCAACAGCAACAACCAGCCTCTGGGAACAGCCTTCCACTTAATTTAATCATGCCACAGATTTCTTATGGAACGACGTCATCCTGTTTTGAGTTAATACACTGATTTAATTCTTTGTGGTATTGCCCAGAGATTATATATTAACAGACATTGGTTCACAGCTTTGAAAATTCAGTACTTGACTAAAGGCATTGCTGGTGATCTCCTTAATTTGTAGGTTTGGATAGTCATCAAAAAGCATCTGAAAATCAACATCTGTTAGCCCAAGCACTGCTGCTTGCCTCTGGGCTGATTCTACAAAAACACTGAACCTTGCTCCCTTTTACCAAAGTTACTGGCTACTGAAAACAGTGGGCAACGTACACTTGAGCCGAAAGCAAGCGAAAAAGTAGAATAAGAGATTAATAAAAGATCAGACGCTTTTGGGAAGGCATTTATTTATATAGCTGTCACTTCTCTGGCCATACTTTATAGTAGAAAAGCAAAAAAAGAGAATGTGCTCTATGGAACATAGTCTTTCTCTAAGATCTCAATCCTGCAGCAGAACGAGAAACCCCCTGCTCATCAGAACTGACAAGATGGGCCCTTGTGGCACTCACTATCTCACAGAATCGGTCCTGCATGGGGAAAAAAAAAAAAAAAAGATATTTTCTACAGCTAGGATAAGAAACTAAGCAGAGCTTGAGTCTCCTTCCTTCTCCTATACTTGGAAGATTCAATTCCTGTCTCATTTTAAAAATGGAGACACATTATCTGTGGTTTGCCATTAGCCCCTTTTCAAGAAATCGAAATAATCACCTTCTGGAAGTTCTTCAGTCTTGTAACCAGAATTTGTGCCGCTTAGTGTTCTGGAAAAATGTCTAGTTCATCATAAAAAAAAAATCCGTTTACAGTAAAGAGTCTGTGGCGTAGGTCTGGCACTGACTACATTCTTGTGTAAGAGAAAAGGGTTAATAGGAGCAATACAGTCAACCATTACATAAATACTACAGCAGTAACAAGAGCTATAGGTGTTTCGCCAAGTCGGACTGTAGGATCAGGATTTGCAATATGGAAGAGAGACAGAATCAGAATTAGGGAAGAGCAAAATTCTGGTAGTTCAGGGGGATATCAGACTAAGTCAATATGTTTCTGTATAGTACAAAGTAGAGTACCTATATAAAGTGTGCACATATACACATATATGTGCAAACACATTCATATATGACCAAATTATATTCTTTTAACAGGGTTTTACCTAGGTGATAATTGGCATTTAGCGTTAATAACAAAGTTTATTATTATTAGAGTGTTGAGAATGTAACCTAAATTCATGATATTATGCAACTGCAGCACAAAAGTTGTATAAAATATCAAATGTTTTTAGCATCTATATTATTTAAAGGGTTCATACCCAAAGTTCCTTAAAAATGCTCCAAAGTATTGGCCATTGGGGAGCAAAAAGGTTTTATTTCCAAACTCCCTCATGTGGTTTAAAAAAAAAAAGACCTCCAGAAGTAATTGAAATATCCCAGTTGCAAAGCACAAGCAGCAGCAGCACCCACCACGTAGCATGGCTCCACTGCACTGCACTCCAAAGAACTGGAGAGGCGGCCTGGAGAGGACAAGGCTGCAGCTTCCCGAATTCCAACCTGGCCTCCCTGGCTAAAGCCCAGGCATACGTTACTGCGGGTGATGGAGAAGGGCCACAACCATTCTGCACCT